GTGTGTGAGAGAGAGAGAGAGAGAGAGAGAGAGAGTTGTATTTAGTTTACCATCAAGTAAATTAGGATACAAAACATTTGTAAATTAATAATCTGTACGTTTTGTTTATGTTAATCGGCAAAATTCTATATTATACTGTAAATGTACTAAAATCCATGAAAAAAACTATGATAAATTTTATAAATTCCTAATTAATGGTAAGGATAATAAATATATACCGTATTTATAACTTTATGTGATAATAACAGTGTTAAGTATTTTCATATTGACTGAATAGTATTCATTAATAACAAGTAACATATGTATTCTTTCAAATCCATATGAATGGTATGGCTGTGATATTTGTGATAGCTGTTAAGATTAAAGTTTATAACTTAATCTAACATAAATAGGTACTGACATTAAGTGAACACTAAATAAATTTATAGCTAATAGTGAACCCTATTATAAAGAGCTTGAAAAAACACTAAACCCAATACTTATATAATTATTGTTATTATTTAAAGCAATTTTCTTACACAAAAATATTTATATTAAATTGATTACAATGTTTACAACAAAAAATACTATTAAAATTTGTATACAATTTTTACTCATATTGATTATACAAAGAGTACATTATATGCGAGTAGAGTAAGAAAAACAAATACGTTAAAGTAAATACACATCTTAAATTAATCTAGATAAACAATTGATTCAAAACAATCTCGATCGTTATGTGCATAGAATATTTTTGTACCATAATTGCTGGAAACATAATACCAATAAATTATAATACAACTAGAAGTCCTATTAACACTAATCGCTGAGCGTTTAGCACCAGAATATTCTGGTGGTCGGGATTTAATCAATATATTGCCTGTATATTAATACACATACCGGCGCTATAGTCACACACTGTGTAAACGTATGTGTAGTAGACATTCAATAGTAAGTAAACGGAGCGCATGTTTGGTATTACATAACACAATAATACTATTGCACTGTATATTTACAGAATCACGGAATATTCTGCTGAAGCATATATTGATGTTTTGCATTTTATTGAATTGTATTTATATAGAGTATATGTTATTTAAATTATAAAACACTAGATATTTAATGCATTTGTAGTCTACTTTTTGTATTTGCATAAATCAATCACTATTTTCAAGAGATATTATCGGCGATAATTTATCGCTTGATTTAATCACATAAGACAACGACAACGACAATGACTTTTTCAATAATGCGAAAGCGTGTGGAGAAGCGGGCGCTGGAAAAACAGCTCAAAATAGACGATATGGTGGTGTTTGATGAGGACCTGCCCCACAAACTGGACGAGTGTCGGCTCACTTTTGTCGACTTTGCGCCCATACTTAAGAGAAAGGACCATGGTGGCGGCATACAAAGTGTTCAATATTCGTAGGCATTTTATCACGATAGTTTGATTAAAATATAAAATTATACATAATGGTAAACACTATAATAAACTTGCCATAATTAATTTAGGGAACTTATGGATTTTGCCAACAAATGGCTGCTAAGGCAGGAGCGCTGGGATGTGCTGAACGCCGAAACCGTGTCGGCCATCATCGAGATCGTGATCGACGAGAGGGGTGAAGTGGTGGGCAAACACATACTCAGCACTTTTACCGTCACGGAAGACAGTGCCGGATACAAGGAGGGCGTATCGTATCACCATCTTACTCTGAGCAAAGCACCCATACACTTCCGGGTCAAAATGTTGCGCCTATGGCTGTTGACGTTTGATCCCAACGAGTACAACGAAAAAGTCCGTCCAATAGTGTCCCAAATCCAGTTCCGGGACTTTGAGCCCCGTTCCCTGACCGACACTCCCGGCGAGTTTGAGTCGTGCGACGAATTGATGGCCAGAGTTAATGATGCGGTCAACGCCGAAGAGATCACCGGCAAAGTGTTAAACGTCCAGACACTGGCCTGCGGTGCCAGTCATGAGTGGCGGGTCGACACCGAGAGTACCGAAGCCAAGCCATGGGTGGGCAAAACAGTGTACGTGTTGCGCGTGTTTTACGCCCTTGGTCCTATACACGAAGAGTTGGTCGGTTTGGCTGACTTTGTGCCCGAGTGTCTAGTGGGTGGGGGTGTTTTCAAGAGACCCCGGTTTGAGTCCCAGTCCTCACTCATAAGGAAGGCCAGCAAATGGCTGTCCGATAATCCAGAGGTCAATTTCTGCAGCGCTTCATCCATTGATGTCAAACTCAAGTCAAGTAAATAGAAATTTTTTATGATGTTTAATTATGACAAATGTATTAATTGTTTTATTATAAGTTGTTTTATTAATTTATTTTATTATATTTAAAAACTTTTTAAATGTTTAGTAATTCATATATTTGTTTATAAACTACTAGTGGTTTCAATAGACACGAAACAGATGGCCATCACTCGTGACACCGGGGACTTTGTCCGTATACTACGGCTCGTATACACTAAACCACGTGAACTGCCGTCAGATATACCCATCTCATCAACACTACCGCCACCTCCGCCCGTATACATAGAGCACCGGACGTTTGTCGTTCACAAGGGCTACGGAGAGGTCAAGCGAGTGATCAATGAGTTCTTGGTACGGGATGAATGGCGGGCCACCGATCAGTACAAGTGGTTACTGTTAAACGTGGAGACTGTGGCCGTGTTTGCGTCCAACGGTCTGCGCGAGTCCCTCGAGACTAATGCCGACCAGAGTTTTCAGGCTCTCCTGTCCTCCAATCTGTCAATGAATAGGACGGAGTATTTTGCCATTAAATTGTATTATGACGTCGGCTACTATGGTATCGACCATTTGGCTACCGGTGTTAAGGCCGAGGAGGAGGCCGAGGCGGCTAAAGGCACCGGTAAAGGCTGTAATCAAATGTGATCTTGAAGTTATACTGGTATTGAACGCTGTTAAATGAATTGTGTGATCTTTATTGCACCCTAGTTCAATTATGTTTATATTATTAAATTAGTGTGAAAAAGTTAGTGATGAGTTACAGAATATTCTGGTGGTCCCGATTTTAATCAATATGTTACCAACATATCAACATACATACAGGCGCTGCACTTATACAATAGTGTACAATATAATAGACTGAAGTGAATAGTTAGGGAACATCCAAGAGCGCATGTATAATATTATACAATGTATAATGCTAATAATACTACTGCACTGAATATTTACAGAATCCATTGGCGCACACAAAATATTCTGTTCAGGCATGTAATGATTTATTTGTAATTTCTAGCAATATTTATATAATATTATTTTAATTATAAAACTCTAGATATTTAATGCATTTGTAGTGTACTTTTTGTTTGCATTGTACACTGATTTGCAAATATTATCATTATATTTGATTTGCTGAAGAGGAAGGCATACACGAAGACAACGACAATACAAATACAATGACAATAATAGGAAAACGTGTGGAAAAGCGGGCGATGGAAAGGCTGCTGAAGATTGACGATATGGTGGTGTTTGATGAGGACCTGCCCCACAAACTGGACGAGTGTCGGCTCACTTTTGTTGACTTTGCGCCCATACTTAAGTCAACACATGATGGGAAAGGCACCCAAAGTGTCCAGTACTCGTACGTATATTATCTTGATAGATATTATGATGGCTAATTGCTCTAGGTTGGTTAGGATTATTGTTTAACTCATCAAATGATTAATTTGCATAATTCAATCCAGGAAATATTTATAACAACTTAAATTATTAATAATCAAGTATGCAGTAACTTTAATAAATTCTTTATTTACCATGTACAATTCAGGGAGTTAATGGATTTTGCCAACAAATGGCTGCTAAGACAGGAGCGATGGGATGTGTTGAGCGCCGAAACCGTGTCGGCCATCATCGAGATTGTGATTGACCCGAGAGGCGAAGTGGTGAGCAAACACATACTCAGCACATTCACCATCACAGAAGACAACCCGGAATACCAGGATGGCGTGTCTCTCCACCATTTCACCCAGAGCAAAGTACCCATACTCTTCAGGGTCAAAATGCTGCGCCTATGGCTGTTGCCGTTTGACCCCAACAAGTATAACGACAAACTCCGGCCAATAGTGCCCCAAATGCAGTTTCGGGACTTCGAGCCCCGTTTCCTGACCGACACTCCCGGCGAGTTTGAGTTGTGCGACGACGTGATGGCCAGACTTAACGACGCGGTCAACGCCGAAGAGATCACCGGCAAAGTGGTGAACGTCCAGACACTGGCCTGCGGTGCCAGT